TTATTTATTTATTTATTTTTATTTATTTATTTTTATTTATTTATTTATTTATTTTTTACATTTATTTATTTTTGAGAGACAGAGTGAGACAGGGTGCAAGCAGGGGAGGGGCAGAGAGAGAAGGAGACAGAATCCAAAGCAGGCTCACAGAGCCTGACACGGGGCTCGAACCCACGAACCATGAGATCACAACCTGAGCCGAAGTCGGATGTTCAGCCAATTGAGCCATCAGGCACCCCCAAATAATGTTTATTTTAAGGTGTTGGAGGAGGACCTCCTAGTGCTATGATAATTAGAAGTGGCGTTAGCTTTTCAAATCCATGAAAGTATTTTTTTTAAGTATCTTGAAACAATAGCTTAAAACAAAAATCCTTTTATTCTGGTTACAGAAATAATATATGCTTATTTTAATATACTTGATATACAGAAAAATAAAATGTTGAAACTGGAAGTCATACTCTCACCTCTCGTAAGTGATGCTAATAATTACTTGGTGGCTTCCTCACCTTGCACGTACAGCATAACTTACCGAATTGTGCAGTAGTTGGGTCATTGGGTCTCTTAGGCTACCTTGGAACACAACTGGGACCCAGAGATTAAAACTAACTCAGGAACTGTGTCCTTAGAGACAGAAGTTAGGGATCAAAGCCTAAGCCTCACCCAAGAATCTCTGCCCTTGGCCAGTATGAAAATAATTTAGAAAGAGGCAGAATCAGTGCAAGAGAAGTCTGCTAATGAGGTCGAGCCTGCATAGTGCTGGTGAGAACCTGGGTGGAGCCAGGGAGGACACGACTCAGGCTGGTGTTTGTACCAAGTGTGAAGGAACCTCATCTTGTATCGAATGCTGCAGGGACATCGTTGAAGGCACTTTGAGGAAGAATCTGTTCTTTTTTCATCTAGGACCCTTAGTAGACAGCCTGTCTCAAAGAAGTTTCTAACTTGAACTAGAATAACTTGACCTAGAACACATAATGGAATGTGTAGTCCACCCTCTGGCCTGGTATGTTAGAGATTTCCAGTTCCAAGTCAAGCATCTTTGGTCACAGTAAATTTTGAACTTTTTAGGTGTCTTGGTTTGCAGTGGGATGCTATTATCTCATGGTTGGTCATAAAAATGAACATGCCAGAAGATACCTCAGGTATGGATCTGTTGTCTTTCTCCCTCTGTAATGAGCCCATAGTAAGGGATTTCTTGTTCATCCTTTTTAATACAATAATTAAGTACTTTAAAAGCAGTATGAAAGAATAATTTTTTTCAGATTCAGTTCAGTTGCATCAATTATGTACCTTTTTTTTTTTAATGTTTATTTATCTTAGAGTGAGAGAGAGTGCACACATGAGAGCAGGGGAGTGACAGAGAGAGAGTGAGAGAGAGAATTCCAAGTAGGCTCTGCCCTGTCAGCACAGAGCCTGACGTGCGGCTCAAATTCACGAACTGTGAAATCATGACCTGAGCCAAAATCAAGAGTCAGCTGCTTAATTGACTAAGCCACCCAGGTGCCCCAGTTATATACCTTTTTATAAGATGTCATGAGGGGATATAAAAGTCAGTGGTGTAGACCTTATTCTCAAGGAATTTACGATGTGTGTAAATTATAAGTGAGAAAAAACATGAAACAATAATAGACGTTTGGAAGGTCCTGTTTTTCATTTACAGAGATACTCGGCACCTTTTAACTTTAGGACTTCTTTTGTTAATACTTGTGAAATTACATGAAACTACATGAGATTAGGGTCACTAAATGTGACTATAAAACAGAATTCTTGTCATAGTGAACTGGTTTATATAAGGATCTGCTGTGTGCAGCCCAGTCAAGCTACTTTATAAGTGTGATTTCAGCCACATGAACAAACTGGGAAAGTGGATCTAAGAAAAAGTGTGTAAACTTTGGACATAGATTTGAATTCTAATACAAGCCCTACCACTTGCTAGCTGTAATTCCTTGGGAAAGTTAATAACCTCTGACCCTCTCTTCTTTAAAAATGGGAATGATACAATACTTGTATCCCAGGATTGTTAGGAAAATTGGTAGGATGACTCATAAGGATCCTGCACTCGGAAAAACAGGGAGTTCTCTGGTCAGTTGAATGTTAAGCATTTTAGAAGAACTTGCTTGTGCTTTTTCCTGGAGTAGGCAGATGATTCAGATGTGATAGTTCCTCTGAACTGTGCTTCTCTGATTTAGTGATGGACTCCATGTGAATCAAGGAACATTTGAGTGATAGAAAACTTAGAAAATAAAATGCTGGGAAATGGGCATCTCATCGTTTATATTTTCCTTGTTTTGTGGTGTGTTCTCTTTATTCTGGGTGTCCTGGGTCACCGGGTGTCTGCTGATTGAAGACTACTTATGACGGCTTAGACTGTGTGGTGCAGTCTGCAGGACCAGGGTGTTCTCCTGCTGCCGTCCACAGGGTGTCACTTAATCTTCCCAGCCTCAGTATACTGATGTTTAAAATACAAATAACGATTTATCTTGTAAGTTACTAGGTGATGCACATGAAGCATTTCACATGGAGTCTGGTGTAAAATATGCCCTCATTAAATGGTTGTTGCTACCACAATTACTGAAACAAAGCTCCTGGATTAAGTAATATTTGTAAATTCAGAGTGTATTTGTATTTGTAAATACAGAGTGCCAGTGGTTTCAATTATTGGACCTAAAAAGTTGTGGACCTCTCTTAAAATGTCTTAAAATTTTGCTTGTACTATTAAACATTCTTTTATTTCAAATGAGATTAACAATTGTTATGTAAGTATTTAATATGTTAAGAGCTCATTTATTTAATTCCAATATCCTTGAAGTATCAGCTTATATAAAATTAACAAGAATGAATCTCTCACTAGAATGACGTTTCTTGTTTCAGCAAAGCGACAACACTTGAGAAGACTTACGGGCCTGCGTGGGTAGCGTACGGACACTCATTTGCAGTTGAGAGCGAGCATGACCAGGCCATGGCTGCTTACTTCACAGCCGCGCAGCTCATGAAAGGGTACGGCAGAGTGCGTGGTGAAATCCATGAAGGGCTGCTCTTGCTAACAGAATGACGATTCTGTTATTACTGTCATTGCCATTTGGTTGCTGAACTAAACAAAAATATCTTATTTGTATCTTGTTAGTAGCTTATGATTGAACATGGAGGGAAAGAGGCTGGTGTAGTGGTTTTGACCTAGCAGGTCTCTTTCACCAGTACAGAATGGCACTAGGAAATTAAGCTGAGGGAAGAGAGGAGGGTTAGAGGCTCCTTCTCATGCAGGAATGAAAGTATTCGTGAGCAAATATGTTATCTGTATCCTATTTATGTCCAAAAGGTATTTGATGTAGGTTTTGTGGACTGTATTTGACAGCGTTCTTGATTTTATTTACTTACTTTTTATTTTTATGAGAGAAAGCATGCGCGTGTGCGCATGAACCAGGGAGGGACGGGCAGAGAGAGAATCCCAAGCAGGCTCTGTGCTGTCATTGCAGAAGTTGATGCGGGGTTCCATCTCATGACTATGAGATCATGACCTGAGCCTAAATCAAGAGTCAAGACACTTAACCAACTGAGCCACCCAGGTACCCCTCCAGTGTTCTAGATTTATATCAATATTAAGAGTATTGATATTAAGTGATATAAGTGCACCCTAAGAGTATCTTACTTTGTGGTGGGGAGTCAACTCTCCTGTCAACTCTCTTTGGACTTGCCTAACACTTGTCCTAACCCTACCACGTGGTGTTCTTTTGTGTGGGCTGTGTCCGTTTCTGGAGAGGTAGTAGGAGTGCTGTAGTTGCAAGGGCTGGTCTGGAGTCAGACTCCTGGGGGTCTCAGCCAAGTATGTACCCTCTTGAAAAATAGGGAGAATTGCAGTACTTATTCCTGGGAATAATTGAGACAATACCAGTTAAAGACTTGGAACAATGTCTGACATGCAGAAAGCAGTCAGTAAAAGTTAGCTGCCTTAATTTCTTTGCTTATAGTATTCAGAAGTGGGATCATATATTTATCTGCATTGAACGTCATCTTGTTAGGTTTGATTTACCTTTTCTATTTCCTTACAAGCATTCTAAGTGTAGTCACTGGGGTAGGGCTTTATATATGAATTTGGTCAGGGTGAGGATATATAATTCAGGCCTAATACCAACGTATTATTAGAAATAGTTCTCCAGGTTAAAATGGTTTCAGCAGTTACTGACCCACCTGAATGGTCCTCAGTACCAATCATGGAGAGTCCATGATTCTCCAGCTTATCCACCGTGATGTGTGAGACCTTTCTTTCCCAGTGTTTTGCTAAAACTTGGCTCCCGTGTCTACCAAGACCTCTAATCTATCAATCTGGTCAATTGGCAGAAAAAAAAGTCTCTGCAATTTACCTTGGGTTGTTTCTTACTATTTTTTTTAACGTTTATTTATTTTTGAGACAATGCGAAAGACAGTGCAAGCAGCGGAGGGGCATACAGAGGGAGACACAGAATCTGAAGCGGGCTCCAGGCTCTGAGCTGTCAGCCCAGAGCCTGACGCGGGGCTCGAACTCACAAACTGTGAGATCGTGACCTGAGCCGAAGTCGGATGCCCAACCAACTGAGCCACCCAGGTGCCCCCTTGGGTTGTTTCTTATGAACACGGGCTAGAGTGTGCTTTTTAATTTTATTTATTAATTTTATTTATTTTATAAATAAATGTATTTTTTCTGGGTGCTCACAAACCCAGAATAGTTATTATTTGTTTGTCAGTTTCTACCTAAGAATCAAAACTAATTACAAAATTTTCCAATGTAACAAACTACATTCAAGTAAATTTTCAAATCCGCTCACCAAGATAAGCATTATTCTTTTCATTTCTTCCCCATCAGAACAACTTTGCATTCTTTTAACTTCCCTGTGTTTGGATAAATGTTTGAAATTGTGTAAATACTTTAAGTGTTCCTTTATGATTTCTTCTTTGAGCCACTGGTTATGTAAGAGTATGTTGTTTAATTCTCACATATTTGTGAATTTCCCAAATTTCCTTCTGTTAGGATTTCTGATTGAATTCCATTGTGGTTAGAGAGCATATTTTATGTATCTCAGTCCTTTCAAATTTATTGAGGCTTGTTTTATGACCTCACATGGTCTATTGGAGAATGTTCTAGGTGCACTTGAGAATCTGCTTTTTTGGGGTGATTGTTGTACTGCAGTTCCTTGGGTCTGATTGGGTTCTAGTGTTGGTCATGTCTTCTGTTTCCTTGTTTATCTTTTGCCTAGTTATTTTATCCATTGTGGCAGGTGAGCTGTTGAAACCTCCCAACTGTTATTTTTGAATTTTGTCTTTTTCTCTCCAATTCTGGCAGATTTTGCTACATGTATTTTGGGTCTCTATTGTTAGGTTTTGAGTGCAGTGAGTCTTTCACTATTATAGGAGGTCTTTCATTGTCTCCAGTAACAGCTTTTGTCTTGTCTATTTTGTCTGATACTAGTATAATCACACCAGTTCTCCCTTGTTACTGTTTGCATGGTCTTTTTCCATCCTTTTACTTTTAACTTGTGTCTTCAAATCTAAAGTAGGTCTCTTATAGACAATATGTAGTTGGATCATTGTTTTATTATTCATTCTGCCAATTTCTTTCTGATGGAATTTTATGTGTTACTGTGTTATGTAATTACTGGTAAGTAGGATTTATGTTTACCATTTGCTCTGTTTTTATGTCTTTTTTGTTCTTCCTTGTTACTGCCTTTTTTGTCAGATATTTTGTAATATACCATTTTAATTCCTTGGTTTTTCCTTATACTATATTTTTTGAGCCTTTTGGTTTGGGTTTTTAGTGGTTATCTTGGGGGTTACAGTTAACATCTTAAAAGAATCTAGTTTGTAGGGTGCTTTCCAGCACCAACAACCAATTCTCTGATTATCTGGACACTAGCTGGGTCCAGTTCTGACTGGTCAGTTCAGTTCTGACACTACCCAGATTTAGTACAGACCCTTCACAGGTTAAGCACTCAGTCCCATAAGACTGCCGCTCCCCACTTCAGATGCCAGTGGTAAGTCCCAGACCACTTTCACTTCTGACTGGCTAGAAATCGGGGCTTCCCATGACCCTCTCCTGAGATTTGGTGATTTGCAGAATGACCCACAGAATTCAGGAAGGCATTTTACTTAATTCTTCTGGTTTGTCATAAAGGGTATACTCCAGAATAGCCAGACAGAAGGTATCCACACCCTCTGCAGGCAAGCCACTCTCCTGGCAGTGCACTGTGTTCAGCAGCCCAGATACTCAGTCTCTTTGGTCGCAAGTTTTTATGGAGCTCAATTTCCGGCCCTTCCCTTCATGGGAAGTCAGTTGGAACTTTTGTTCCCACCCTCTTATCACTTGGTCCTCCTGGTGACCAGCCCCTTACAAGGCTGTTTTGGGGCCCTACCCTGAGTCACCTTCATTAGTATAAACTCAGGTGTGATCAAAAGGGGTCACTGTGAATACCAAAGAGACTCCTGTCACTAAGGGAATTGCAAGGGTTTTTAGGTGCTCCATATCAAGTACCAAGGGGAAGACCAAATACATTTCTTACTTTACCACTGCAACTTAATTCCAGTTGTATAAAATTTTACTCTTCTGCAGTTCTGTTTCTTTCTGCCTCCTTTGTGCTCTTAATCACACAGATTACATGTTACACATTGTAAGCCCCCAACACAAATTTATGATTGTTCTATTACTCAGTTATCTGTTAAATCAGGTAGAAGAATTGCAAACAAAATATATTTGTACTGTCTTGTGTTTACCTAGGTGGTAACTTTTATTAAATTACTTAAAAAAATTTTTTTTTAATTTACATCTGAGTTAGCTAGCATATAGTGCAACAGTGGTTTCAGGAGTAGATTCCTTAATGTCCCTTACCCATTTAGCCCATCCCCCCTCCCACAACCCCTCCAGTACCCTCTGTTCTCCATATTTAAGAGTCTCTTCTGTTTTGTCCCCCTCCCTGTTTTTATATTATTTTTGTTTCCCTTCCCTTGTGTTCATCTGTTCTGTGCCTTAAAGTCTCATATGAGTGAAGTCATATGATATTTGTCTTTCTCTGACTGACTAATTTCATTTAGCATAATACCCTCTAGTTCCATCCACGTAGTTGCAAATGGCAAGATTTCATTCTTTTTGATTGCTGAGTAATACTCCACTGTATATGGAAACCACTTCTTTATCCATTCATCCATCGATGGACATTTGAGCTCTTTCCATACTTTGACTATTGTTGATAGTGCTGCTACAGATATTGGGGTGCATGTGTCCCTTCGAAACAGCATACCTGAATCCCTTGGATAAATACCTAGTAGTGCAATTGCTGGGTCGTAGGGTAGTTCTATTTTTAATTTTTTGAGGAAGCTGCATACTGTTTTCCAGAGTGGCAGCATCAGTTTGCATTCCCACCAGCACTGCAAAAGAGATCCTCTGTCTCCGCATCCTTGCCAACATCTGTTGTTGCCTGAGTTGTTAATGTAAGCCGAATATTCTGACAGGTGTGGTTTTGATTTGTATTTCCTTGATGATGAGTGATGTTGAGCATTTTTTCATGTGTTGGTTGGCCATCTGGATGTCTTCTTTGGAGAAGTGTCTGTTCATGTCTTCTACCCGTTTCTTTACTGGATTATTTGTTATTTGGGTGTTGAGTTTGATGACTTCTTTATGGATTTTGGGTACTAACCCATTATCTGATACGTCGTTTGCAAATATCTTCTCCCAGTCTGATGGTTGCCTTTTAGTTTTGCTGATTGTTTCCTTCATTGTGCAGAAGCTTTTTATTTTGATGAGGTCCCAATAATTCATTTTTGCTTTGCCCTTGCCTCTGGAGACGTGTTGAGTAAGAAGTTGCTATGGCTGAGGTCAGAGAGGTTTTTGCCTGCTTTCTCCTCGAGGATTTTGAAGGTTTTCTGTCTCACATTTAGGACTTTCATCCATTTTGAGTTTATTTTTGTGTCTGGTGTAAGAAAGTGGTCCAGGCTCATTTTTCTGCATGTTGCTGTCCAGTTTTCCCAGCACCACTGGCTCAAGAGACTGTCTTTATTCCATTAGATATTTTCTCCTGCTTTGTCAAAGATTAGTTGGCCATACGTTTGTGGGTCCATTTCTGGGTTCTCTGTTCTGTTCCATTGATCTGAGTGTCTGTTTTTGTGTCAGTACTGTACTGTCTTCATAATGACAGCTTTGTAATACAGCTTGAGGTCTGGGATTGTGATGCCCCTTGCTTTGGTTTTCAAGATTGCTTTGGCTATTCAGAGTCTTTTTTGGTTCCATACAAATGTTAGGATTGTTTGTTCTAGCTCTGTGAAGAATGCTGGTGTTATTTTGATAGGGATTGCACTGAACATGTAGATTGCTTTGGGGGTTATCGACATTTTTAACAATATTTGTTCTTCCTATCCAGGAGGAGTCTTTTTCCATTTTTTTGTGTCTTCTTCAACTTCTTTCATAAGCTTCTATAGTTTTCAGTGTATAGATTTTTCACCTCTTTGGTTGGATTTATTCCTAGGTATTTTATGGTTTTTGATGCAATTGTAAATGGGATCGATTCCTTGATTTCTCTTTCTGTTGCTTCGTTGTTGGTGTGTAGGAATGCAACCGATTTCTGTGCGTTGATTTTAGATCCTGCCACTTTGCTGAATTCATGGTTCATTTCTAGCAGTTTTTTGGTGGAATCTTTTGGGTTTTCCATGTAGAGTATCATGTCATCTGCGAAGAGTGAAAGTTTGACCTCCTCCTGGCCAATTTGGATGCCTTTTATTTCTTTGTGTTGTCTGATTGCAGAGGCTAAGACTTCTAATACTATGTTGAATAACAGTGGAGAGAGTGGACATCCC